GAACAGGCTATGCGGTGTGCTGCGTACGTGTCGAGTTGTGATTGGGTTGCAGTGGGTGAGCAGGGGTCCGGCCGGGGCGGTCAGAACGAGTGTGTGTGTTCACGATAACGCCGACGCGGTGCGAATTTATTGTCAGCTGTGAGACTGTACCCGGCTTTTTATTCCACTATTGATTGATTGCTGGATTTAGGATGCTGAAGAATTTCTGACCGTTGGATGGGGAATCAATGTGGGGGGAGTAAACTACGTAAGGAGACGTCGAATAATGGGCCCTATATAAGTGGGCCCTTCACAGATTGGGGCAGCAGCCGAAGGAATGAGATCGCACATGCTGTATATCGATGGCCGGAAGCAAGGGGAAATTAGCAATATTTGTGTGGGCTTGTTATATATTTGTTGGGTTATTCTATAGCGGCCCACGTTAATTGGGCTGGAAATGTAAACTTCTGCCTATACGGGTTATATAGGCTTAGGCCTTGGACTTTTCTGTAATTTGTTAAAAGTGGTATATCCATGTGTTGTTCCCAATTAATCAGCTCAATGACTGTTATTCGGGAATTTTTTTTTGCTGAAATTTTATAAATTCCCACCTTCCAGGATTCATTTATTTATTTAGCTGAATCATGTTTTTAGATAAATGTCAAGTATTTTTTTAATCTATATTTTGTTTTATTTTTGAAGTGTCAGCAACCCACTTCGAAGTGTAACTCAATTATTGGCTCTACTAATTAAACAAATAATTAAAAGCGGGGAGAGTAAGAAAAAAAATCAGCAGATAGCTGGAAGCTGACGGAAGGCGGTCGTAGTAGAGATCCTCGGATGCTTTCATCATCTTCATCGTTATCAGAGATCACACCAGTTTTCAACCTCGCCCGAGGTGATGTTTCATCCCTAAATCTTAAAAATCCTAGAAAAATTTTCTCCGGTTAGACGGTTCAAAAAGATTAATTGTTTCTGTAGTAGTACCCCAACGCTCAAATAAAATTTTTGAAAAGAAAAAATGTTGGTGGCTGCAATTTGGGAATAAATTTTTGGCCTCTTGCTTGTGGAAATAGTATATTATAAGAATCTTCAGATGTGTTTTCTTCGTGTTGCATGTGTTGCGTTCACGGATTTTTGAGACAATTTCTCTGCAGGGTACTTTTTTTCATGTTTTTCCATTCATTTCTCGACGGTGCTTGTATAATTTTGTTGTTTACTCCTTGAAATTTATGTTCTCTTACTTCTCAAGGTGTTGCTCTGTAACTTCGTGTACGTGTCCAAGCAAAGGTGTCAAATTTAATTTGTGCGTGATTTTCCCGCAAATGCCGAGCAGTTTCTCTCATCTGGTAGCTTAATTTCGGTATCGAAACGTAATTAGTTCGGCTGCTTCGATGGCTTCTTTCACGGACCAAATGGATGCTGAAGACTCAAGCCACAGCCTTTTGGAGAGAAGACAGTCGGGTATGTGAATCTTCTATATTTTTTCCTGCTATGTACATTTATACGAGCAAATCTGTGTATGCTTTTGAATCGAACGGCGAGATACAACAACCCACAACATAAGAAGTTTTAAGATTTGATTGCGTCAACTGTAAAACTAAAGCCAGATTACTCAATAGTCTAGGAAATGGTAGCCGACCACTTCGTCAAAATGCATCATTTTTCATTCAATTGTTCGTTGTGGAAGTTCATTTGGAGATTCCTAAACTAGTTGACGCGATTATCGAAATTTGATCCGTGTCCTAACCTTGTGCAGAAACGGGAAGTTCATTTGGAGTAACTTTCATTGTGATCTCCCCTCTGAAACCTGATCAGTTATGTTTTACAATGCATCTAACAGATTGTTGAGTTCTTTGTGCAGAAATGGGAAGCCACTACGTGTATGAATCTGGTGTGTACATGTCAATGTTCGCTGCAACTGTCTTTGTCGCTGCACTCGTGACCGTCGGTGTTCTGATGCTTACCCTGCTGGTTGCTCTATCTGTGATGCTAAATTCCTGTGAGAGTAGGAACTCTGGAGTCTTCAAGCACATTAAATCAAGTGATGACGAGTTTGATTACTGCAAACTTTTTGCTTTTCATGCGGAGCTTAACAAGCTCGACGCAGACGAGCTCCCCAAAGTCTGCAAGGATCTTCCTTTCAAATACGGTAATCCAGGCCAGTTTTTACGGGAACTGAGGCTGACAGTGCGGTTGGCAGAGAGTTACTTTGACGCTCTTAAAGCCAACGACGACCATCTGGATGTAGTATTGATGGATGTAGATGGCATGTTCTTATCGAACGTTACCAGACGCAGCAGCGACTCTCGGGATAGGTAAAATGATCAGATACGATGTCAACGGATAATATAGGGACTAGAGTTTCATGTGATGGGTACGTATAGGGAGATTTCTGACTGGCTCGTATATCTGAACCTTATGTCAGGAAGAAGCACGTCGAACACGAAGATCCTCCCTCCGAGCTTATCCTGAGACTGTATTCAAAACTTCAAGCTAGTGGTTGGCGTTTGGTTCTTTTTACGAGGAAGCACTCGGATCACAGGAATGAGACTGTGAAAAACCTTATTTCGGCAGGTTACAGCGGCTGGTCTTCGTTGATCATGAGGTAAGTATCTTTGCGCCGTCCTTGTTGTTTGACCATACCTTGAGAATGCGTATGTCTCTTTCTCAATCGCTTCGCGTCTTGTTTGCTCAGGTCGGACGATGAACTTCTGATGGAAAGTTGGGAGTATATCTCGGACAGAATACTCCAGCTGCTCAAAGAAGGATACCAGATCGCTGGCATTATCAGCAGCCAGATGGATGCATTCCGAGGTTCTTATCTGGGAAGGCGCAATTTCAAGCTTGCCAATCCCGCTTACTACAATCTAAAAGTTGAAGCATAATGATTGTAGGGTTCGACTTGCAAATACATTTTCGTTCGGTACATGGGCATGCGCGGCTGATGACCTTCAGCGCTCCAGGGTGCTTGTACTCTTAACTCGAGCTTTGATTGAGAACTTCGATTTGGCATAGAAGCGAAAGAGAAATGGACGTTCATTTCGTTTTCTCGCGTGCAAGTGAGCAGCGAGGAAAGGGTATACGAGGAGAAAAGAATATGAGATTTGGAAGAAATATGCATATCTATACTGTTCATCCCCTTCACCCTTTCAAGTAAAAAAAAAAAAAAAAAACTCTTATACAGCAACTCAATCAGTACCTCTAATCGGTATCGAAATGAAACACTACATAATTTCTTTCTTCTTTATTGTTCCTTGTCTACGCATAATTGTATAGTATGCTGTTCAATAGATCAATGGAAGATTTCTCAAATTCTTCAAGAAGAAGGGTTGGCCGTCCACCAACCTTTTTTCTAATGCCTTTGCATCGTATTCGACTTTAACGCTTGCTGATTGAGAACTTCCTATGATTCGCTGTTTCTTGATTCGTCCCAAACGCACATTTAATTTAGAAAACACATCTCTAACCCATAATGTCTTCATAAGTACCACACTACAGCATTTTACAGCATGCGATAGGTCTCTACCATTCAAGTCTAGCTAATGCCTTGGTATAACTAATCCTGCCATATAAATTATTCAAAAGACCCATAAAACTCTATAACAAATGAATCATGACACATGCTCCGTAGGCTTCTACCTTATTTAACTTCATGACGGTGTTGAACACAGCTCTACATGACACATGCCGGAGTACATCTGATCCTTAATTTAACTTGATCTTGTTGAATATATACTAACCCAACAAAAACACGATGAGAGACGCACAAGATTATCACCATCACCCAGGGCAACATTTTTTTGCGATAAACGCTACCGAAAAGAATCCTAATAAAACGATATTGGACAGTGAGTAGCGCAATACAACAACAGAAAAATGGCCTTCATGTTTCTCGGTTATACCTCCCAAAACTTAGCGACGAACAAATAGTAACAATGCTCCGTGTCATGACATCGAAGAGTAGTTCTTATCAGTGCTACTTGATTCAAGTAATTAATCAGCAGGCGAAAATCCAGACCAGAAGTGCAATCTAAATTCCTGTGAACATTCATGGTTTCGCCTTAGAAGAGCAAATAAGTGTGAGCAAGATCAATGCAACGCTTCCTATTATTAAAGAGAGAGAGAGAGAGAGAGAGTTAGTCTATCCTATAATCCCATCCATTAACAACGACCGATATCTGATATAAGCCCATGCACGCCGCATGCATAAGAGCCTACAAACTACCAGCATCAGAGAAAATCAGGCAGCGAACAGAAACAGATTAAGTCAGCAATACATTGACCCCAAAAAAAAAATCAACGAGCTGGCCCCTTCAAAATCTTCGAGCCCTGAATTTACAGTCGCAAAATCCTCTTTCTAACGTTGCTGAGCTCTTCTCTTCAGCATATCATTTTTCTTAACCTTCATGGTCTAGTTCCTATCACAACTGAAAATCAACTGATGAACAAAAATTTACGCTTTCTGAACCAGAATTCTTTCCTTTCGAAAAAAAACAGACCGCATTCAGAATGACTAGAGAAATTGTAAATCCAAAAGGAAAGAAGAAGTGAACGATGCTTAACTAGATAGGCAATGAGCAACGTCTACAAGCCAGAGCAGATAATTTTGAAATGAATAGACAGATTTATGGTCAACCACATATAAATATAATAATATATATATATATATATATATATATATAGAGTAGAACTTGTGTCAACTTAGGTGGATAGTGAATAGTGTGTCCCAAACTTTATATCCACTCATTTAACATATAAAAAGTCACTTCATATCATGCAAGGATCCCTAGGAAACATCTAAGGGTTAAAAAGTTTAGTGGATCGTCCACTTAAGTGCGACACAAGTTTTGCTCTCTCTCTCTCTCTCTCTCTATATATATATATATATATATATATATATATATATATATATATATATATACACAATACAAGACGTTATACTATACAGAACCAGGTATGTAGCAGAAGAAAGACTTGACCGTAACTATTAGGCATTTGACCAGTGTCATCCAACAACAACTAAATCAAGAAGTTCTCTTTAAACACCCACTTCATAAGCTAGGCAGAAGGATGAGCATCATAAAGAGGTAAACTGTAGTGTCCACATCCAGCTTACTTCGCTAGCCCTGAAATAAGATTATTCACCAGCTAGTAAGCTGTCAAAGGAGAACCTCAGTTGATGAAGACCCCCTAACTAACTATGTCGAGTTGAGCGGGCAATATATAATAGGACCAAACATTGATATGGAGCAAAAAAAATACCTCGCTGATCTACACGAAACGAAAGCCTCCGACATGTACCCAAATTACCGAGAAGGAAGTCGAGCACAAGTTACAGGCACATTAAGGCTGTTGACTTGTTCCCTAACCAAAAGTCTTACTAAGCGAGTAAAACCGAATCCGTAATTGTCGAGGGAACCTGCAACTCACGTAATCCACAGGTAGTACTCATGGCTAACTAGCAAAAAAGCTAAAGGCATCGAGATCAAATATATGGTCGCCTCCTAAATGATAGTTGCTGTGAACATCAAGAGGTAAGCAGTGGGTGCTAAAATTAAGAAATCCAAGGCAAGGATTGCCTATATAACTATGCTCCTGGTGCGAGGGAGTTGGCCCTCTTAACCTATAAAAAACAAAGAATTATTAGAGATGGGTTAAGGTGAGATGATACAGGGGGCTTACTGCTTACACCTTCAAGACAAAGGATTCACTCCTACTAAAAAAAACAAAGACAAAGAATCAATCTTTACCATCAGAAAACGAAAGCAGATTGTAGATAATTCCCAACCTGTGGCCAGAAAAATAAACCAACAAACATGGTAACATGCACGAACCCCCCAGCTACCAATCTTTAATCATCAAACATTAAGCAGAATTCTTCCCCAAATCAGTAATAATTACACAGAACCAGTCCCAAACCTTTTTCGTATGCACAACGGAAAATACCAACAGATTCACGCATCGAGCAAAGAATCAATCTTTACCATCAGAAAGCCTGAAGAACCGGCCGCTTCCCCAGCCGCTTGATCTCCTTCTCCATCCGACCGGTCATCATCAACCCGAACATCCTGAAATCGCAGAGGAGAGACCAGAGGGGGTGGCCGAAGGTCGCCGGAGCGTTGCGCTCGACGAAGAAGTGGCTGTACCAGGCAAGGCCATAGCCTGTGAAGGGGACGAACGTGGGCTTTGAGTGTTGGGTCACGTAGAAGGCCCAGAACTCGTCGAGGTTCCTGAAGTTCATCAGCTCGGCTTCTCCTCCTCCTTCTGCTGCTGCGCTTTGGGGATCCTGGATTGACTAAGATTCGGGAAACCAGGGGAAGATAAAATAGGATGGGAAGGAGAAGGTGCGAGAGGCCCCGGGCCCATTTGTCGGTTCATTGTGGGCTGCAAGATATTTGATTGTGGGCTTCTTGTAACGCAGAGTGCGGACGTGTTTTCACTCGGGCTTAGTTATTTATCATGGCGGGTAAGAGAAGTTTTTATTAGGGTTAGCTAAGAATGAGACCCCGGTCAACCGCTAAATATTATTACATCTCGGTGGCGTTTACCGGGAGAAGAAATATATGCCATCTAGGGGAATCAGGTCAACACATTAGTTGGTAATCAATGCATCGATATGAATGGGTATCTAACAAATGGATAAAAAGAATTATGATAAACATCTCATATAATTGTACAAACACTTCCCCGACGTGCAACAGAAAAGGGGAAATAATGTTACAAATACACATATATACGGTTCGCGGTCACGCTCAAGATGAAACTATCACACACACTGTAAGAGAGCAAAGCAGACCAAATTGGCAAACCACTGTTGCAACAAAACTTCTGAATGCATATAAAGAATAAAGGCGGAACTCGTTTACACAGCTGGTGAACGCGAGATAGAACTCAGCTGAATGATGGTAATGTGGATAACAGCGAAGGGTGAGAATCAGTCGAGGAAACAATCCTCTGCGAAAAATTCCCTTTAGCATGTCTGCAGGAAAGGTCTTGAAGAAAATGTACACGCTGTGGCAACGCACCATCTAAAGATGAGTGAGAGAGATTAAAACCTCTTATGCTGTCAAGATGCATCCACGTAGAGGACTGGAACCAGTCCAGCCATTTTCCCATCTCTCCCAGGACGTTTTTTCTTTACCTGGACAAACAAACATGCGCAAGATTTCAATGGATTCATTATATGGTCCGAGTAAAGCATGGAAAAGAAAGTGACAAGTAAAGAAATGAACTTACATAGTACCAACCATCAACTTCGTAATCAATCTCAACCTCCTCTCCTGCAGTCAAGTTTAACTGCGAGAAAGATAACCCAAAATAAGTTAAAGATCCATGCAGGAAAGGTTTGACTAATACAAAGTAAGCAGTGTTAGACTAGATTAATCAATGATATGTTTGTTAGAGATGTTTATATATAGTTGTGATGATACCTCATCATCTCCTCCAGCAGTGAAGTCATATAGTGCTTTGCCAGACTGAGGATTCTCAGAAGTAGAGCCTTCATCAACCTGTGAATCAGAACTCCGAGATCCGCGGCCTGCTAACGGGTTATCAAACGAATCGTGTCTCTGCAAAACTGATGAAGAGTAGGATGGAGGTTCTTCTCTAACCTGAGAAAATAGCGAGATAGAAATTTAGATCCAACTAATTCGCCAGGATCAGCTCTGAATTAGATAATAATTACTCGTCAACTAATAGCCATGCTCACCGGAGAAACTGATGCCTCATACATTGAAGACGGACC